TCTTGCATCGAAAAATAGATCAATCAGGAATAAAGAAATATCTTGCATGGAAAAATAAAAGGATAGAAAATATTGCAATTTTGTCCATTGTCTTGGCATAAGAAAAATTAGGGTTTAACTAAAAAACTAACTGAGAGTTTTGGAAATATTGCTATAAATATGGTGCATTAGTTATACATATTTATTTTTTTTTTAGTTTCAATAATTCTTTTCGATTTTTTTTTTGTCAAGTCAAATGGCAAAATATTAAAATAAAAAATGCAAATTGAATTATAAATATTATATGTGTTGTAAAACTGTAATATAATTAAATATTTAAATAAATTAAGTCTACTCTAGAAGAGTCTGTTTTACTTTAATTGTAATCTCATTTTGAACCCTATAAATGTGGTTCTCAATATAATATACACTTTTGTCTTTCTCTATATCCTTTCTTATATTTCTCTCATATTCATTTAGTTTTATAACATGTTATTAGGACAAAGAAGCTCAACCAAAATATAAAGAAAATTCAAGATCAACAATGTAGAAATTTGAAAGATCTGGACAACTTGCACAATTGTGATCAGAGCGTTGATATCTCAACGTTAGTGGTCCAATCACGAGAAATCCAATGATTATGATTTAAATTCAATGGTCTATCCATGAGAAATCTGTATGAATAATAGCCAAATTCTTGTCAAAAACAAAATCATTTATTGAAATCAATATGAGTATTTGTACTATTTTTTCTTCGCTCAAATTTGTTCCATTGAATTTTCTTGACAAGATTTTAATGATGCATCATTTTATTACCCCAACTTTGTTATAATTATTTATACTCTTTTTTCATTGTTTTGTATTTTTATCCTCTAGGGTTTTTGTCCAACTAAATTTTTAATGAGGCACTTATTGTGCAAATAGTCATCATATGGGGAGCGTTGTAAAGCTATAAGATAATTATTAATGTCGATTTAATTTTTTCAAGATACTTAGATAAATCTTATCTAATCTGAAAGAGACTATTTTAATATAATTATACTCATTTTGAGCCCTAAAGATGGGACATTGGTTTTCAATAAAATACGCAATTAAGTTTTGTATCTCTTAATTTCTTCTCTTATATTTCTCTCTTACTCTTTTAGTTTTATAACAATATCACAGCTTTTAATTTCACATAATTACTAAGATAACAAAAATTATACTCTATTTTGATTTTTTCTTGTTAATGGCTTTTTCTTGAAAAGTTTCTATTAGTCTAACAAAAATTATTACTAGTGGAAATGATGTAGAACCAGATTTGTCAAATTTCAATTTCAAAAATCATATTTAAAGTTTGTTTATACAAAAATAGATTATAATTCCATTTTTAATTTAATAATAATATTATTATTATAAAAGTAAATTAATCTACATACCCTACCCTTACGTCCTTCCACCTTACCAAATTTTTTAAACCCTAATTATTTTTTTAGTTTTCCTTCCCTCTCTGAATCTCTTCATTCTCTCTCTATATTTCCATTCTTTCTTCTCTCTCTACGGTGCCACCATCGGAGCACTATAGGCGTTAGGCTCACTTCACCTCCGGACGGTCAACATCTCCAATCTGCAGTCACTGGAGGAAAAAAGAAGAGTCAACACGCAGCAACACACAAAGCCGTGAGAGGGACGCTGCCGTTCATAGATCTATTTTAATTTTCTACCATCGAGCCTTCGACCATGGCTTCATCTTCGAAGCCATAGGAAGGCAAGGCCAAGCATAAACAGTTGACGAGGAAGAGGAAGGCAAAGAAGAGGGCTTGAGAAGCGGACATAGGTAGCAATTGGTGTGCATGTGATCTAGTGTTTGGGCAGGTGGTGTTGGATCTTGTTGGTGGCATTGGTGGATGTGGTTTTGTTTGTGGTTGTGGTATTAAAGTGGTAGTTTTGAAGTTTAAAACGGTAGTTTATTGGAGATGGCGAGGGTGATGGCGGCGCTAACGATGGCGGTGAGGTGGAGCTGCTTTTTCAGTTGGTGCCATGGTGGATTGGGCCGGGTTGGATGGGGTAGGTGGTGGGATTAAGAATATTTGTGACCAATTATTTTAGATTGTGACCAACAAATTTGTTATTTTGTTACCAAAAAATAACATGTGACCGATAAATTGTGATACATAAAATAATATGAAACCTTAAATTTTGAATTGTGACTTATAAAATTTGTTATTTGTGACCGATAAATAATTTGTGACCTATAATTTTTTTGATTTGTGACTAATGAATAAATTATGACCTATAAATTTTTTTTTGATTTGTGACGAATAAATTTTTTTGTTTGTGGTCGAAAAATAATTTATGATCAATTAATTCGATAATTTGTGATCAAATTGTATAAAATTGTAACATAAATATATTTAATTAATAAAATATATTTTTAATTAATATTCTCATAAATATAATTTAATTAATATCTATTTTTGAAATTTTAAACTTTATTTCTTAATTTTGAAATGGGCAATACTTAATATCTTAAATATGAAAATTTTCATTTTTTCCATTTTTTCTATTCTAAGCCCAACGTGAAAAAAAATGGACCAAATTTTTTTTTTTTTCATTTAAAATGAAAATAGCACTTTAGCCCACCCACTAGTTTATTTGTTTTCCTTGAGTGTTTTTATTTAAATAAAAGAGGGGCCACTTGCACTCAAGACTCCAAGATAGTCCCGTTTATACGAGTCAAAATGGCTAGAGAGAGAGTCAATAGGCTGCCAGAATGAAAGGAATGGGCGCAAAGAGCAAGAGGAGGTATATCAATGTTTCTTGTACATTTTTTTTTTTGACATTAAGTTTGACACTATGTGTAAATTCAAATTATGTTTGATGGAAAAGTGTGTTGTTTTTAAAAACTGTCCAATGTGATGCTACCACGTGACACAATGTCAAATTTAGTGTACTTGTAGCATGGTTGATATCAGTTTCACTTAGGAAAAGAGAGGTACGTGCTAGGAGAACAAAGAGACTGTTGTGGTGTAGAGACAAAAAAAATAAAATGAGACAAGATCTAGAAACTGTTTGTTAATCTATGTTGTCTACGCTAAGCGTTTGAGTTTTTTATAGGAAGAAATTGAGAGAGCAAGAAAATATTAGAAAGGATATTGTGTTTAACTCAACCTAACAAAATAGGCTAATTATGGGAGGATTGCTCCCACCATATTAAGTGGATAGTGTAAATATCACCAACCAATGTGAGACTCTAATATGCCCCCTCATGCACAGCGTGAATCATGTCAAATAATTGTGAACAAATCAATATTGGGTGCACCCAACATTGCAAAATTGAGTTTGCTCTAATACCATATTAGAAATGATATTTGACTTAATTCAACCTAACAAAATCGGTTTGTTGGGGAGGATTACCCCCACCTTATTAAATGGATCGTGTAAATATCACCAGTCAATATGAGACTCTAATAGAAAACTCTTATTATTAATATTTTGATTAGTGAATTGTTTCAGCTTCTCTAGCGGTCGTTGGCATTTAAATTAACCTAATTTCTTTTTTTAGTCTTCTCTCTTTTGTGCTGTTTTCTCATTTCCATTTTTCAGTGCATTTTTTGTACCTTGGTGCAACTTTTTCCCAATGCTCTTTTCCCTTTTTTAATCAAGTTATTTCTATCAATTTCGCTAGTTTTTTAAAATAATTTTTTTTTGAGACAAATATTATTATTATTCAAGCTGAAAACAATGTTCTTGTCTAGACTTGTAAAGAACAAGAAAAATCAAATAACCAATGGTTTCGAATAGTGTAGTTAGTAAAACTAACATATTTATATTTTTTGCTTACGCTTTCTATAACTGTTGAAACGACAAATACTTTTTAGTATAAATATTTTCGTATCAATATAATTTTTTCTTTAATTTTATATTTTCCATTTTGCAAAGAAAACGATGGTGCCGTATTAGGTGTGACTTCTGAGTTGCCACAAGTCGACTTTTCTTGATTAGAATAAAACAAAAGAAATTGACTCCAAGCATGCACATTTTCTAATTCTTGATAAGCTTTATATATATACTAGGTGCAAGCAACGTGCAATGCACGTTTACGTA